TAAAAAATTATTAGTCAAGTACATAGACACCGTTGTTCTTAACGACTGTTTCCCATTCTTCTTGATGCCGTTGTTGTAGAAAATTCGTCTGTTTTGGGGGGATGCTGTGAGGTAGTTTTTGACTGATTGTACAGGGCTAAATCTTTTTGCATTTAAATTGTTTTGTAGTTAGAGGAACAAATGACAATCTAAAGGAGTCAAGTTAGGACAATCCGGTGGCTTCTGGAGGGTTTCCCATTTCATCTCTTTAAACTGTTTTGCAACATACGGTCTTGTATTGCCGTGATGCAAAAATTTCTTCAATTGCTAAAATCAGTTGAGATATTGATTTTCAAACTCTTAGTAATTTCTTCCATTTAATCTTAAATTTAATCTCCGCGATCTTTATGGACGCCGGAAAGTATCCCGAAGTCAGGTTGGTAGTTTAGGTTAAAATGGCCCCAACGAAATCCCCTAGATCACTTTTTGATCGTCCGAAGAACTGTAGCACGATTCAAATAAACATTTGGAATTTTTTTTATCGCAGTTCCGGCGTTTACTTTCAGAAATTCATAGATCGTAATATAGCAAAGGTATAACATTTTATCCGGCTTCTTTTAGGCAAACATCAACACTCAACTAAGTTTGACTCACAGCTGAACGATGCAAGGTTTCATTCTAGGATACACCCGAAATAGGGCACCAAGACAAACGCCACTTTCAAGTTGGTGCAATCATTTTATATTAATAATCAAAATCGGACACGAAATTTTACAATGATCTGATATATATATATATATATATATATATATATATATATATATATATATATATATATGTGTGTGTGTGTATGTATATATATATATATATATATATATATATATATATATATATATATATATGATAAAATATAGCTACTATATTTATGGGTTAAAGCGTTCAATATCAGGGATAGAGCCTATGTAAATATAAAAGTGGACATTTATGTCAATGCCCAGAGATGACAATCGGTCTGACGAGCATATAAGCATGAAACAGGAGACTGTCGCCGCAGGATTATGACTACAGTGTCCACTTATATATAAGACCCAACACAATTACTTTTTCCACATCCGACATATTTCAATTTGTTATTGTTATATTGTTTTTATTAGAAAAGAACGGGAGTGAATTTTCTCTAAACATTCTGTTTTTCCATTTCATATAAAACTGATGTTTTTAACTGAGTAACATGAAGAAAGTGATATAAAATGCAAATATCATCGACTAGAAATCGATGTCTGCAATTAATCTTTTAAGTTTTCGTTTGGTATATTTTCTTTCACAGCATTTGCATTTGAAATCGGAAATCAGAAAAAGTGTTAGTATTTCTTATTTTATAGTAACATCAAGATTTTTCTGCTTCAACTCTAAGCCACAGTTAAATTTTTATACAATCGGTTTAAGGGAACGGTTTATAAACTGCGACATTACAATGCAGACCGAGTCTTGAAATCGAATTGAAAACTTCTAGTGGCAGATCTACGAAGTATAGGTGGCCATTTGAAAACGTGCTGGGAAATGAGAGATGCCAGATAACAAAACGATGGATTAGAGGATTGCAACTGCGTTAGCTTAGATACTGACTTAAATTTGGCGATGTGTGTTGACACAGTTGCTAACTTCATGGAAAAAAAGAAATTGGCAAATAGATTTCGAATTTCGGCTGAGGATACTTTTATACAATTATCAGTTTTGCACATGGTAAAAGTGATAAATACCTTAGCTTTGTTCTAAAGCCACATAACAAAAACTCTCAAATTTTGAGATAAGTCATTATCTGCCTTAATCTTCTCAACCATGTATAACAACCAAGACGAGGATACTAGTCTGAATAGAAAGTCATGTAAAAATGGCCTCGTTTCTGCAGAAGGATTGAGAGTCATGTTTAGAGAGTGATTTAGAGGCAACATTTTATTTTCTGACCATCTTTCGCCGAGGTACTATGAAATACAAATAGAAAAAAAAAACTTATTAAAATATTAGCATTGATAGAAGCTAGCCATTACCTAAAATTTAAAATCATTCTGAATAAGAATTTAATCTACTTAGAACAAACAACATGTTTAAATAATAGTTAATTTTGTATATTTTCAGAAAATGATACCCTGCGGTAGGGCAATTATTAGCAAGTATATTTCTCACACTCCTTTTACTATAGTGAATTCTATACTTCCAGGGTGGTAAATTTTTAAACAGCGAAAAAAAAAAATGAATAAAAATTGCAAACTAGATTGTGATTCGATGTGACACTCTGTCAATCTTGATCTGTTTGGACGCTTTCACGCACTTCAGTGAGTTCAATAAATGTATATATTGTTTTGTAAGAGTAGCTTATATTACTCTGTGGTGGATATTACATATTAACAATAGATATAATAAAGTTTAAATGCCATGCGTTTAAATATCGATTGATTTGAAATGTTTAAAAGTCTTACAAAATGAAACTTACTAAGTAGCAAGTAAAATTTAATTATCTATCTCACCTTTTTCGTAGTGATGTATATATGAATGCCTTTTACGTCTAAAATAAGTATTTCATACTTATAAGCGCCACATGGAGGACATTAATTAGCAAGCTGCTATCAAATTATTATTATAATGTGCTTAATCTTCACTAGTTTTGTCAATTGAATGTAATTATCGTACAAATACAAATTATGTTTCGATAAAAAAGATAATGATTTGCAAAGGATATTATGAATGCATTACGTTATAAAACTTACGTTACCGTAGAACTAATATTATGTATAACAAAAATGGGTTGCATTACAAAAGATATGAATTATAAAGTATACTTTATGTTAAAAGGATATTATAAATGAGAAAGAATAAATTACGTTACAACGGATAATATGAATAAGATACATTACGTTGCAAAGAATCTTATGAAATAGAAAGAATGCATTACATTCCAAAGAATATTATTAAATAGAAAAAAACGTTACTTTACAAATAATATAATGAACGTTTCATTATAAAGAATATAATGTTACTAGAAAGAATACGTTACATTATAAAGAATCTTATGAATTAGAAAGAATACGTTAGATTACAAAGAATATTATGAAATAGAAAGGATACGTTACGTATAATGCATTTCAGTAAGAAGTATATTATAAAGTGAAAAAAACTACATTAAACTATGAACGGAGTTATGAATTACGAAATATAACACGTTAAAATGGATATTACGGGTTACAAATTAAACGTTACAATAAAAAGATATTACAAAGTTCATATTACATCATAAAATACATTAGGAATTTCAAAAAAAGTTACAACAGATATTAGGAACTACAAAGTACATTTTACGTACAAAGGATATTAGGAATTACAAATTATACATTGCGTTAAAAAACGTATTATGAAATAAACGATAGTGACCTTACAAAATATACTATGAAGTACAAAAGACACATTACGTTACAATGAATATTAAAATGGATATGTCCAGTTACAAAGGATATTATAAACAATGAAGATATCTTTGTTTAATTGTTATGAAAATGATAGATTTAATTTGCCACCCGACCATACTTAAGGTACTCAGTGTAAATCGGCAATAATCTGTGAAAGTAGTTTTAATCGTTTTCCCAGTGCAACGTGTCGATTATGTTGATTTAACTTTCAGGTAAAGTAAAGATATAATAAATTTTGAAGAGACTGAATCTATATTACTGATTAAAATATTAAAAGGTATATTTCACAAAATCTACTTGTAAGTGAATATGTGGAGAACATAGAACAGAAAAAGGAGGAGCGAAAAACAAAACTAATGCAAGTCACTCGAAATACTTAAAAATTAAGCAAAAGAACAAATATGAATATGATCCATTTTTTGTCTGACGCCATTTTTTCATCTAAGAAATCTGTCCTCTTTTCTTACTGATTGACAATTACTGAAATGTGCATCAACAAAAATGTTCGGTTGACAACATCAAGACTGCAAAGTAGTGCTTCACCATTCCAGACAAAATTCAGAAAGTTAATTACTATAAGCCAGTCATTAAGCTATAAACAATCTACTTTGTGAAACCCCCGCCAAATATGATGAGTTTTCTTTTTCTACAATTCTATATAAAAATCACGAGTAACCATTTTTCTTTCTTCGTAGATGTGATCCCCCTACACTTTTTACAATTCTAACATTAACTCCACCCTCTTTATATATCTCACTTATTTCCTATATCACTCATTTTTAATTTCAATAAGTTACTATAATTCTAAGAAGAAGCGAGCGGACTTAAGCTTTGTGATTCCATCTTTGTGTCTAAGTGGTTTTTACAGGCCTTTAGAGAATTGGTGTTCTTCCCATTAAGGTAATTTGCAAGAATCGGAAATATGTGGTAATCCGAAGAGATCAGGTCAGTGCGGCGGATGTAGAAGGATTTCTCAACTAATCTGTATCAGTTTCTGTCGTGTCTGCAAATAGATGTGATGTCGGCGATGTCCTGGCGGTAGACAACACTCTTCTTGTTGGCCAATTCTGGGAGTTTTTCATCAATTGCTGCTTTTCATGAATTGATGCTTTTCATTGGTCCAATCATGGAACACTGCTATCACAGCAAGGATGCAGACCGGTTTTTAAAGCGGTTAATCTTGTCTTATTTCGTTTAGCCAAGTATATTTTTTGCCAAATAGTGCGAAAAATGAATTCTTCATCGCCACTGTTCTCAAAAAAAGTTGTTTTGATACTCAAACAGCGAACCACTTAGAAACAGTATTCTTCGCTAAGGCACTATCTCCATAAACGCCGCATATATATTTTGCTGTTTGTTTAGCATCAAATAATGAAAATACATCTAATTTTATTTTATTATATATTTTACGTTAAAAATTAATTTTAACGTAAAATATTATAAATTCAATATTTACACACGAATCGTTTAGAAAGGCCCATTGAATTGTCAGAATATGTATATATGATAAATTTTGGTCACGGGTGAAATATATCCAAACACTAACTAGTGAAAAATGATATGAATAGCTCAGCATCTTTCATTATCTATCTGTCTCATTATGTCTGTATATCTGTTTCTTTTTCTTACTCCCTGACTCGTCTTCCTCATATCACTTCTTGCCCAACGTTGCTTCTCTTTTCACCTTACCCTGAAACTTTACTGACATTCTTAGTACAGTGATTAAAACAGTCTTCACCTCTCGTGATTTCGACCTTTGCTCACTTCTGGATTCACACTTAATCTAGTCCGAGTCAATTAGCCATCTTACACTAACTGCCACCTCTAATCACTCCATAACCGGCAGCAGGACTTGCCTCAGTTTCATGCCATTATTTCTAAAAGGACTATGGCTTCATCAATCGAATCTTTATTTCTCTTTCTGGTTTCACACGTCACTAAACATTTTTCTATCCTCATCCTGCCGCTCTGCTTTGTAGCATCAGCAAAACCCCAAAGAGCTCCACACACACTTTTTTCGTACCTTTGCCTTCACGTCTCTTTCACCCTAACCCTTTTAATCAGAACTGTTTTCGACAGTTTCCTGGGCTTTTGTCTCCTCGCACTTGACTCAAGTGCAAATTATATCTTTGTCATGATCTTTTAGAAAGGTTTACCTTCCTCCTGATGGCCCGCGGGAAGCGAAAAACTCCAATATCTCACTTCTAACTTTTTTTTATCAACAACTTATTTTCAGTGGTGTTTTGGCTTCAGGATATAAAATAAAAGGTATGTGTTTGTTTTCCTATCTATCTATCTATCTATCTATCTATCTATCTATCTATATATCTATCTATCTATACGTGGGTACTTCAATAAGTCAGCAGCTTAATGAACATTTATAAAAAATAAATATTTAGTTTTGAACATAATATCGTTCTTTGTCAATGTATCTAATTTAGTGGTAAATGTCAATCATTTTATAGAAAATATTCAGAACGAATTACGGTTAGCCATAAATTTTGAATTTATATTTTACTTCTGCAAACTTTTAAGTGCGAAGGTAATTATTTACTAGACATTGCTTAGCCATACACAAGGACAAAGGAAATGGAAATTGAAAATATTCTGTAACAGCAGTTTCACAATTTGGGAGAGCTGACCTTGAAAATGTCTCAAAAGCCACATAAGTTTTGGTTAGTTCATATATTTAATTATTTATTTATTTATTTTATTATTTTCATTTAATTTCTGTTTTTCTGTTTTGTAATTTTGATGAATTTTTCCTGTTTTTCCTTCTTTTATTTCTTAAAGAGTTTTTCATCTACATAATATTAAATATTTATTGTTAAAATATGCTGCCTCTTCAGCGAAATTCTCAACCGTTTAGTTCGTTACATTGTATCAAAATTCCATTTCAAATAGACCATATGTATCTGTTGAATTTATGTTTATGACATCTTACTTAACATAGACGATTTCTATTGGTTGAACCGATTATCAACATATCTTGTCTAGCTTCTTCACATTTCTATATCATCCTTATATTTATCTTTTTCTCTTCTTTGGAGAAGAAACTATATCTTGTGTGTTTCTTTCCTTCTCGCTTTTCTTATTTTCTTTCATCTTTCTTCTTTTTTTAGAAGAGACTATATCTTGTTTTTTCATTTCTCTTTTTTCAGCTATATCTTGTGTCTTTTTTTTTTCTTTTTAGAGGAGACTACATTTTATGTCTTTTTTTCTGGATTGCTATTCTTATTTACTTTTTTGCGGGAAAAGAGATTGTTTGTAAGTAAACATTAAAAATTGTAATAACCCTCATTTACCACCGCCTGATGAGATCCAATGATATGCATCGAAACATGAATGCGTTTATGTAGTGCTTCTCCATATGCTCAAATTGTACTAATATTCTATAAAGACTTATTGCTCTAGAATTGCATCGAGCCCTGTTTTTTAAAATTAATGTTGTGAACGTTTGAATTTATATTTCATTCGTTCTCATTTATATATATATATATATATATTATATATATATATATATATATATATATATATATATATATATGATCTCTGGTATTGGTATATATATAATATATATAAATAATTATATATATATATATTTATATGTATATTTATATACACACACACACACACACACACACACACACACATATATATATATATATGGTGTAACAGCAAAAAATTCAAAATAATTTTACAGAATAATTGTCAATCACACAACATGTTTAATATCTAAAAATCACTAAACTAAATGAGTTTTTTTTTTTTATTTAAGTTTTCTGTTAATCTTGGGGAGTAATTATATATACTTATTGCTTAAAGTAGAGTCCAATAGTGTTATGAAATGAATAAATAGTGTTATAAAATCCTCGGAGAATTCCAGTAAGTTATCTTTAATCATTTCATTTCAAATCATAATCTAACAATTGAACATTTTTGCTTTTTACACGATTTGGACAATTTTGCTGTTACACCCGGTATGTAGCGCGTTACACCCGGTATATATATATATATATATATATATATATATATACACGTACTTGTTTCCTCCTGTTATGCTCGATATTCTATATGTACAAAAGTCAAATTTGTCCTGGAGCTGCTATATCCTCCCGTTTTAGTCAAGGCAGAGTTAAAAATTTTAAAACTTCGGCACATATATATCCATGCCATCATTTATCAGTTTTTGACACGTACATGCGATTTTTGAAGACCTAATTTTGAAACTAATTTGACTACAGTAAATCTATATATAGTTTTGGTCAATGGCGTAGACAGAGCAAGAAATACATACGCTAATTTTATATCTTGCGCATGCGACCCTCTTAAAATTAGCTTCAAAATTAGGTCTTCAAAAGTTGCATGATACACAAGTATATACGGTATATAAAATTCCACTGAAATCTAGCCACATTAATAACCCAATTCTTCAGTTTGTTGTTAGGCTAAATAAAATAATTATTTCGCTAGATTTCTCTTTCATTTACGTGACGTCCGCTATCAAACTAATTCTTCCGTAGATAAGTCTTAAAGTCTTATCAGATGTACTTTGTTCGTTTTGTAGTCAAGGCTCTACAACATTTCGACCCTCGTACTCTCCTATCGTCATGTGTCTTTCGATCCGGGTAAACTTCAGGGAATTTCAAACTTTTATTTGTTTATGCCTCTGAGATGAGGTATTATGATTACTTATATTATTTACATTATTTGTTATCCTCATCTTCATTGTCATATTCACGGCGTTTCGCCCGTTGTCCGCTCCAGCCTTCTTCAGGCGATAGGTATTTCGAACCGAACCATTTATTTTGTCCACCGAGGTTGAGTGTTCTAGTTCCACGTGCATTTAGGATGAGGGCTTAGCAATGGGCTCGCCATTATCACCAGCAATGGCAAACCTATATATAGAATGCTTTGACGAAATGGCATTAGAATCAACACCACTAAGGCCAATCCTATAGCTGAGATACGTAGATGACACCTTAATAATATAAGCAGTACCCTACAACGTAACAACTACCCTGGGTGCATGGTAGTAGCTCCAACAAACTGGGATAGAGAGGTAAAAGAGGGTAACAGCACTCAGAAAAGAGTCTGCCTACCTGTGAAAATACAAATGATCGGTCCATATAACATCAGAGCAATCTTCAAAAGTGGTTCAACACTTCGCAGGCACCTCTTCAGAGTAAGACCTCCCATAGAGGAGAACATGACTAAAGAAAGTGTGTACGACATCTCGTGTAGGTGTGGTAGGAAATACAAAGGAGAAACAGGCCGCATCCCTAAAGTAAGACTGCAAGAACATCATAAAGAAAAAAAAATGAGTTGTTGAGAGATTAATTTTATAAGTCCCAAAAATTCAAAACACGGATGTCCTCAATGACATGGCTGAATGGATAAAGACTTTAGATCCAGACCCAAAGAGTTCTGAGTTCAATACCAGGACACAGCAGTGGTGAACTCACCTTGGTGAGATGAGTTAAAGGGAAATAACTAAGACATCCAGAATGGTATGTGGAATTAGAACAATCTACCCGGGTTCGGTTCTAAATTCTAGTCACCTGAAGGAGTTGTGATTAGGATAACAATCCGAATAATGTATGTACATTTCATTTATTCTGCGGAGGTAGATCGTTCTCGCCCCGTTGACCATTTTCAACAGTTTCCACTGAGTTTAAGCATGACATAGAGATTAAACTCATCATTATTATGCGACCAAATTTACCATCGATTTAATAATAATTCAGTGATTCAGTGGAAATAGGCTGAGCTACTAACTAAGCAGCAACCAAAAAGAACTAAACAGGTTTCTCCTTAGAGATGGATAGCGGAACAAGAACATTCTATTCCTCATTGATTATATAAAAGATTAAAATATTTTGAGCGTTCCCAGGTCCTCAAACTAAACTTCTATGTCGGTTTGCCTTGCTGTCGGGGTTCATATATGGTCGATAGGGAAAGCTTGAGATATGACAGTAGGCTTGACTTTTACGCAGATTTTGGAGACCGTCAAGACAACCTGAAAACCTGAACTATACCATTGCAAAATTAAGTCATAATTCTCTTTAATTGTGGCTGAACATTCAGCCGTAGCGATAATCTCATTTAGGAATGCTAAAACTTTCCCCCATGATAATTAATTGGAATTGTTTTTTTTAGTTTTACGCAATTTAGGCTAAGGAAATGTTTTATAGACATGGAGAAGACCTGGGTAAATAATTATATCAGTTTGTATATCCCGTGTCGATAATATTTACGCTAATTGTCATTTATCTTATGAATAAAGCAAATGAATAATAACGCAATCAGTGCTAATAAAAACTTGGCTTTTGTATAAGCACCTGTAGCTTGATTTATGGTTTAAATCGCGAAGTAATTCCCTTAGGCCAGTTTTCAATCTTAGGCAAAAAAGAAACACGAATTTGAATGCTGATTTTCTAAACAGGCACATCCTACTCATTTTGAGATTGGCGCAAGACAACCCTTTGTCATCAAATTCTAGTTATCTGTTACTTTCTTCTACTAAGCATAGCAAATTTCGTTTCTCTAATAAGAGTTATGATGAGTGTCTTGCCGTAGTTCGAACTCAGGTAAATCCCAGAATTTCGAAGTTGTATTTTCATGACAGGCAGATCAAGACCCACAAACTCATAAAAAAAAATTAAGATTCTTTTTTTCTGGGGTGGAGATGGCATTTTCTTTTTAACAAGTAGCCTCCCATATTTATATAGGTTAGAGCCTCGCAAAGTCCAAATCCGACAATCAGGCAATTCCTCTAATCACGCAAAAATATCGACATTTTCCTCAACTTGAATATATATATATAATATATATATATATATATATATATATATATATATAGAGAAATTAGTACATTCAAGTAGTAACGGTGAGTACTAAAATAATAACAGTTCTATTTTGGTGCCGCTTGCCTTTGAACCAGCAACACCGAAGATAAGACATGTAATAATATCATTGTGAAATGTTACCGCTGTTAAAATAATATAAATGAAGATTTCGTGGTCTTATGCAACATTGGCTGCGAGCCATTACCATGGAACACCCAGTAAGGAATTAACTCACAATCAAAGGCTTTCGAGGTTAGCATGCTAACTAGTAAGCACACGCTGAGTGCTAGTCCAAGAATAGGGAAATGACACCCCCTGGTCGATAAACGGACATGAAAAAGAGCAACGATGGGCGCACTCCGAATACACGCGAGACCCACAGGCATTGAAGAGAGATAACAAGAAAAGTTGGCTTTGTTACAAATTCGGCACCAAGGCCGAGCGACGTGAATAAGTATAGCGTTACGGAACGAAAATTAAGTTCCTGCTCCGATTCGGCCCTGCAGGAGAAAGAACATCCCCTGCATAGGGAGATGGCCTCCTTACTTAGGTGTGAGGAGTACATATATGCACATGGGTAAACTATATTTATTTTACCGAAGAAGCAATAAAACTTAGTTTGAAGGGGTTCAAAGCAAACCTTACTCCACAACATATATATATATATATATATATATATATATATATATATATATAAAATAAATAAATTTAGAATAGTATCACATCATCACGTTATTTTGTTTTCTTAATAAGCAATGGACAAAACGAAACATCTTTTTCTTTCCTCGTCACTTTCTCAGCAACCCCGTCCATAAAGCTGGTACACCTTCTTAACACCCCACCCATTTGCTTCAAGCTCCCCAGGGAAGCCAACACTGTTGGCATAAAGCCAGCCAATTTTCTTCTAAACGTTACTTAAATGTTGCTTAAGCTGTTTATAAATCCGCCCGAGATCGTGAGCCGTCTGCTTTGGGACGTTGTTCAGACAGGCCTTAATTAACGAGTTGTGCCAAGTGCGAAAGTCTAATATCTGTGACAGGCTAATCGGATTATGAGCTAGTGATTCGATTACTGGATCTTGAAAGAAACATGTCGGCTGCTCGCTCGGTCGGCTTCCATTTCTTCTCTACACCTTTGCTTATGCATTGCCTCCCTTACCCCTGGAGACACCGGCACCTCCGTCGGACATTGCCCGGGATAATATGCTAATGGTGGGCAGTAGTAAAGCCTTAGAATGCAAGGTCTTCGGCTTCTGATCCACCGTTTTTATGTATATCTGCAACGCCATCTTGAATGTTTCCCGGTGTTGTGTCGTTTCTCTTTTTCTTCAGCCTATTCTTTACTCTCAACCGCATTCGTTTTATTAATGATGCTCTCTTTCCTTTCGCACTTGCGCAGTCTTTCAACCTGCTCAGTTAGCTTTATCAGCGTTAGATCTTTTTCGAACTTTCCCGAACATGTTTACCGCCACGGAGTGAGATGACTCGTCTTTTATTGGTTACTATTTGACCCTGACTCTATATGCACCTTAATTCTTTTGTCTGCAGTTTTCGCCATTTGACTATCTTTCATGAATGGTCCGACTGCCTTTTTTTCTTGAGGAAAAAGCTTTGTTTTATTGACTTCCAGTCTTTATTTTTCTATTATCTTCATTTAAATGTCTTCCTTCGTTCCGTATTTCTTTTATTGTTTTACATTATCTTTTGATAAAGGATTTCTTTTCTTTAATATTGTTATTATTTTTCCTTTTCTTTTCATCTTCCTTTAAACGTTATATTTCTCTTCGTTCTTATAATCTTGTCAATTTTTATCTTCCTTTTTCCTTTCAATGTTTATTTCGTTCAATTTTGTAATCATTTTTCATACTTTTCTTTCTTTTTCATTTCATTTTTTATCGCTTATTATTGTTTTTGTCCTTTTCCCTTCTTTCATATTCTTTGTTCAGTCTTTCTTTCTGTTATTTTTCTCTTTCTCTTGTTGTCTTTTTCTCTTTCACTCTATTCTGTTATCTCCTCCTTTTTTGAAAAACTCCATTTGCTTGTCCTCTTTGCCCATTCTTGTTTTCATTCTTCGTTGTTATTCTCTTTCTTTCTTTCCTTATTTTTCTTTATATCATCCTTTATTTTTTATCATATCGCTTTCTTTTTTCATAATTCATTCAGCCTTTTCTAATTCTTTTCCCTTCTTTCTTTCGTAGTAGAGTCCTTCTTCA